ACTCCTAATATTCTGTGATTCTGTGAAAGGGGTGCTTTTGTGGCTCTTTATATTACTAGATATAATTTTCTGAAATAAGAAAAGAAATGAAAAAAACACATTTGAAAGAAGTTGCTGCACCTGCAAAAACACTCTTTAAGCTTACTATGAAATACAAAAAAGTGCACCCTTCTATATCTACATATAAAACATATTAGAAATAAAACTTGTGTAAAATGTTTGCTGTGCAAACTATAAAAACAGTCTGTCAGTCCATTCTTTTTCCTAAACATTGTGTCACACTCTCTTGCTTCCTACTGCAGAGAATCGCTGTTATCCAAGACCAGCCCACTGATATTTGTTGTCGAGAGATCTCCTCCATCATCTTCACCGCTGTCTACAGATTCATCCTCACTTTGCCCTGCCATCATAACTTGCTGAACAGCCAAAGTAGCACCATCGGATGACAAAGACTGGAGACTGTCTACATTCATGTTGACTGGAGCTGTAATTGTTACGACAGCACCTGGAGAAGCACAATCACAGCACTTTAGCATCTTCCTTGGTTTCTAATTTTAAGTAATACATATTTATATATAACAGAGTTTGTTGCTAATAAACAGGAAGAAAACCTAAGGAAGTAAATTAAAATAAAAGCTATATAGGTTGTCAAACACTTAAATATCAGGAAATACCAGAATTAAGTTGGCCAGGAATCTTAAACTTAGCTATGTTATGGACACCCATTACAGCAATTCTCAAATCAAGTCATCACAAGACCACTTCTGCAAAGTATTCCAGCTTAATTCATTGCAGAAAAATAGAACTGTTCATAGAGATTCAAAGTGACCTAAATGGATGACGCTGTTGTCTGATTCAGCAGAGGCTGAGGGAAAAGTTTATAAAATTTGGAAAGAAGTAGAGCAGCAGGTGGAAGGACAGAAAGAATGGTCCTGAGTTAAAGCAGGTATTTATCTTTCTTAAATTGAGTCTAATTGTTTGATCTGATGCTAAGGAAGTTACTTCAGTCAAAGTCTTTAGAGGCATATATATACAATTGCAGATGCTCAGACTCTCTAGCAATCGTGAAAGGAATGTGAACAAGACGGGGAGTCACGAAACTGAAACTGCAGCCCAATACGGCTAATCAAACATAACACTACTGATGTGCATATACATATTGAGAGAACTAAGTTGCATATCTAACCTCTGAAAAGCAAGTCTCTCAACTTAAATTCCAACAGATTAGCCCCCAAAACAGAAAATTTTTAAAGAGGGAAAAATGGACACATTTCTTTTATGTTTTTTTCAGATTAAAAACACATGTATACTGAAATATCAAGAACTCTTTC